TCATTTAATCTATCCACAATAGAAAAGAACATTTAGACGTTTGGGGACAAAAAAAAAAAAAAAGACAATTCAAAAAGTCCTCTGCTTTTTCTCCTGAGACTATCACAGAACGTTCTGAAAACATGTACAGACACAGTGGATTAATCGTGGCAGACTAATTACAGCACCATATCACCTGCTGCCTGTAGACCCAAGTAAAGTTGCTCATTAGTGAAGTACAGTTTTTGCTGCTTTTCTCACAGAGTGCCACAGATGATGTTTACAGTGTTCATGTTTTACATGGGGAAATTTCCACTAGAAATATATAGGTGGGCACTGGAACAAAGGATATTCTGGAAAGGTAAAAGGTTTTCCCTCATTGTAGAGAACTTGGGTGTTTTTCCTTTTTTTTTAGGAAGATTTTGCAAATGCCTCTCTCTGTGTATTCTGTGGTTGCTTCAGAACTGATCCAGAGAGATACTTTATTCCATGTCCCGGAGCCCTGGAGAGGGACAGCTGACATTTTCACCACATAAGCTTTGGTTTTGCCTCTGGGAAGTGTAGAATAGTACTAGGGTCTGAGCAGGGTAAATACCACACTAAGAAGTTTTGTGTTTGTAATCGATACGCCTGAAAATCAGTTATCCCTTCAAGGTCTAGAACTCTGTTCAATTTTCAAAGCAAACGAAAATTCTACAATCATTCCTGAAACAGAGAAGATAGATAGGTGTCTTTGGGTAATGGATCTCTGTCTTGAGAATCAAACACCGTAAATTTTTCTCCAAGCTTTACTTTTTGCCACGTATGGAGCTTGAATAAACAGCAGATAATGCTGCTGTGGCAGTGATGGCACATTTTTGGTTACTGATGCCACCTGAATTTTGACAAGCGGATAGGTGATTGTCAGTGGTACAAGCTCAAATGTCTTGTCAGTGCTACGTTTGACATCTGAGGTTTATCATCAGCCTCTCACACTAACAATCTATTTCCCATGCTACACTGCAGTAAATTTTTGATGGGCTTGCATGGTAGAAAGCAATAAAATGTATACAAAGTAATTTAAAAAATAACAAGCCTTTAAAATTGTGGTCTGAAATGTTATTATAGAAGGCTGAACTAATTGTCATGGAACCATACTGTACGCACCTTAATGGCCTGCCTGTGCTTAGCCCAGCCTTTTGGGGGAAGAACGGGAACTGAGAGGTTGCTAGTTTCAAGCACTTTCTGTGTGCAAAAGCGGCGTGGAATTGGCTATTTTCCAGACTGGGATTTACACGAGCAGAACATGATGCTTCTGTTCAGGTCTGTAATCCTAACAATGCCTCTGTGGCCACATGGTGCTGCATAGGGTGCAGGACACCGGCCTTGCTGCTCGTCTTGAGGGCCTGCGCTCGAGCACTGGACTCAGGATTTGTGATTTCTCTTCCTTGTGGACACCAACTTAATTAAGACACCTATTGTAAGAGCTGTGTGGCATCTTCTATGCAGATGTTCCACGTTGCAGTTCACAGCAGTTGTTAGAAGGTAATAGAAACAGCTGGGGTGCTGGTCAGAAACCAGAGATGTCTCCACAGAAAGCTGTAGCCAAGCCTCACTTTTTCAACAGCCTCTTGCCCCACTGCAGGTGAATATAATTTGGGGAGAGGGGTTGATCGAGCTGCATTTCGTGTCACCTAGGGAAGCTCGGCATGGCTCACATTAATGTCTCTGTAATGGAACTGTGGTCAGATTAATCAAAATATTTTATAAGAAGAGTGTTTTCATGTCAGACTGCATCACAGAGCTCTGTATTCCTGACATTTTCTTTTGTTCTGTGCATAGGACTGATCAACGAACTGGCAAAGCGAGGCTTCCTTGGCAACAGGCAGAGCAGCCTGCCTGCCACTGCTGGGCTGGACCCCTCCACGTGTTTCCATGTGGCTCCTTACACCGACACCTTGCTGCAGGCACTGGGTAGGTTAAAGCTACAGGCAATGCATTGTTCTGGCTGTTATAAGGTCTGACAACCTTATTAGAGGATTTTCCTGAATAAGAATATTAGGAATATGCTTGTCTATAATAACTCGTTTAGCATTCTGCTGTCTGTCAATGATAGTAACTCTCATTGAATGTCTTCTGTTGCTGGATAATGAATGGAAGAATCAATAGAGAGGTGAAAGGGAAATACCTTTTTTAAAGTAAATTTTAAAATATGTAGAAAAATAAATTCTTTAAATGTGACATTGTAACAACCAATTCAACCTTTAAACCTACCATAATTAAAAGATTAATATCCAATCAATATGTATTTATTGCCATAGTTTCAAGAGAAGTCAAAATAATAAAAGGAGATAAATTGGTGATTAAGCATGTAAAACTAGAATTTGCTGAAGTGATAAATGTTGGCAGCTGTAGTTTCCTCAGTAGGTGCAGAGAAGGCACTTTTTCATTTCACTTTACTCAGATGTTCTTCATTTTGGTTTATACAGTTGAATTCACTTCAGTAACTCACTTGTTCAAAGCTGGGAAATTGATAGGACCTGAAAAAGCAAGTAAATGTGTTTTACATTATAAATCTATAACTCAAATGGGTAGGAGAGTCTTAAACCTACTAGTTCTATACACTTGGAGGTCATGGTAATCAGAGGTTTATTTCACTAACTATGAGTAGTGTTTTCTTATGTATTCAGCAGGTTAATACAGTTTTATTCAACTAATTAAATTATTTAAAATTTTGGATATCAGGATTTTTAATTGAAGTATGATGCTCTCCAAAACCAAATTCACACTAAATCATAAGGAAAAATACTAATCAAGTGCGTGTCATTCACCATTTTTTAGCATTGTGAAATGTTAAAATGTAGGAATAACTAAGTAAATAAATGTTAATCTGTACAATTGCTTAAACAATCATGTAGTGAAACAGCATGGATTCAAACACAGATTTCTTATGGGCCAGAGATTCTGCAGGTTATACTGTTCCCAATAGGACCGTGGATATACGGATGGTGTTATACCAGTCCCCTATTTAGCCCTCAATTGTATGCTGTGTAATCTCCTAGAAAGCAAAACGAAGTGTCAATTTAATGTGAAGTCAGTCATCAGTTATTAATCTGAAATTGATACCTTAAATCATTTTGGTATAGATCTACCAACACTACTTAATGATATGAATAAGGATATCAAAATTAGGACTGAATATATTTGCTTTATGTGGTGAAAAGTAATTCCAGGTAAGGAGTGTGACTAAATAGTAAGGGTTTGCTGTGATACTACTCCTCATGCATAATTCTTTTTCTGGCTGTGCTGAGCTGCAGCATGAGGAGCAGTATCACAGTGAGGCACTGGCCTTTGTCTGCCCAATCGAGAATTAGTCAATTCCTTCACACTGAAAAAGACTTGAGATTTGTTTTCGTGGGATAACTAGTTTTGTTTTGATGATCTTCCTGGGTAGGAGGAAACCTCAGTGCAGTGCCAGACCCCTGTAACATTCCTCTGGATCTTTTCTTCAATCGAATATATGCTTCTGATCCTGAGATAGAGCAAGTTGTCATGCTGACGCTGGTCGGAATGGACACTATGAAGAGTGCTGGAGAGCTCCTTCGCCAGATCCTTCTTCCTGGGGACAATATCCAACCTCAGAGTGCAGGTGATCCTAGCTCTGGGGCAGGGCAGCAGAAGTTGGTCAGGAAGCTTCCCCTGTCCAGCTATTTTTATCATAGCAGGAGCATTATGAAAAAAGTGGTGAAAGGGACTTCAGGAAGGAGGACAGGTTTCTTTGCTTACCGACCTAAAGAACTGAAGAGTTTATCTTGGCTAGGTAGACGTGGGCAAGGCCACTTTGCATATTGGAGACAGCTCAGGTGGACATAATTTTCTTCAGACAGTTTCAGATTAGTTCAAAGATGTGCTTAGACTTACTAAGCCTTTTATGTAATCCAGAGCATTGTGTCTTTCTCGAAGTACTGGGAGATAATGCAGCTGTGTAATTGGGACACAGCATCAGGAATTCAGAAGTCACAAACTATTCTGTCCCCTGACATCCTTTGTGATCGGAAGTGAGACACTTCACCACTTCATGCTTTGTTTCCTCATGCACACAGGAGGAGTAACGACACTATCCTCTGCATTAAATGCTTACAAATGCATCAAGAGTGCTGTGAAGTGCTAAGCAGGATGATGACTTTATATAATTTCATGATGCAGATTGCATCTAAGTGTAATAATGCAGGAAGTTTATTAACAAAGGGCAGAGGTTTGGCACCCTGTCTTATACTGTGTTGCATCCTACTTTCTTGAAACAATACTGTGGAGTAAGTTCTGTATCATGGTAGGCAAGAAGGAGATTCTAGCTGACAGAAACTTCCAGCAGTATGCACTCATGGATTGAGCCCCTAAACGTCTTGCTACATTGGAAGTAAGACTACTTTACAAACACAATGTTTAAGCTACTTTAGAGACAAGTCAGTGTTAAATTGTAGCTTATTACTGTAATGACTATAGCTTAAAATGCAATGTTATGAGAGGTGTTAAAGGATCTATAATTATGGATTATACTGTGTCAAACCAATTGTTATCAGTGTATTATCAGTATTTCCCTTTCAACTTCTCTCCATTAGCTGTGTTCTCTGATCAAATCATGGCACTTATTGTCTGTGGCTCCCTGTTTATTTCCCAGATAGCCCATTTTTTGTTTTCCCTGTAATGTAATTTCCTAGCATTTGTATCTTGTGATTTTTCCCAGTATATTTCTATATCTGTATTACAATCCATTTTGGATGCAACAGGGGGCAAAGTCAAAGCAGCTTTGGAACTTGTTGTCTAGTAAAAAAAACAATGTGAATGCAAAACACTTGTCTCCAAAAGAAAACACAGCTTCTATGAAACACACGCTGTCAACTGATGCTAAACAGATTTCTCTTGACTTGCAGAAAAACCTGATTCAGGATTTGAGCTCCTAAGTCTCAAGTGGTTGCCCCACCTCACTCGATGTCAGGCCAGAGAAATAACCCCTTTTGAGGTTGGAGATACTTCTTGGCAAAGAAGCCTTGATAGGCTAATGTCAAACCCAGTCCTTGTGTGTGCATTACGGCAGATCAATGCCTTCGAAGTTCTTGCAGATGCATTGGAGAGATTAACGCAGTGCAGGGAGAAGCTAAGCAAGAGTGGCAGTCCTCTACAGACAGTAATGGCCTTAACACCAGAGGTCACATTCAGACAAGCCATCCTCTTCTTCACAGAGACCGATTTTGTAACTGGTAAGACATGTTCTTACTGTTTCTAATGTCCTCAGTTATAAGGTGTTTAGGAATTTGTTGAACCTGGACAAAAGAATCCATTGCTATGGGGTTTTCTCAGGCACAGAAAAACTTCATAAAGTGGGGTTGTGTGCTGCTGGATAATGATGAGGGATATTAAGTCAGCAGGAGCCAGCTGAGTTCATCTACATGTTGGCCTATTAATTTAATGTCGCTATGCATGGCCTGGTGCCCTTTCCGAAGATCTCAAGGTACTCCATAAATACTAAATAGATATTACAGCAGTCGGCAGGACCTGTAAATAATACTACGCGTTTTACCTCTGTATATAAGAGAAACTGGGAAACAGAGACCAAGATCTATCCCACCTAAATGTGGGCACCTAACTGCGGTGCCCAACTTCTTGAGGCTAGATGCCCCAACCATGCCTCTGTACTCAGGGAGACAAAGGTACTGCCAGTCTACAAGAGCTGAAGGAAGTGGATTTCTTGAGAATTAATTTTTATACTAGAAGAGAATGAACAGTTCATGAGGAACACAGATCTTTGTTGTCAAAAGCTTCTCAGACTTCAGTGATATATGTTAGCATTGATCTTTCAGCATAGTAAACCTGCTAGTTTCCTCCTGTAGCAAGAAATGTATAGTCACGCCTCTCTAAACTAAATCACCGTGCAGACTATGGTGTTATTGATATGATATGCTTTGGAGCAGCAGAGTATGAGCTCCCACTGGCTTCTTCTAATGTGAAATATATTGGCATATCACCTCCGTTCTTGGAGAAGCCTGACTCCTCACACCTAAAGATAAACAGTTCTGAGCCTAATGATTTCTGATTATTCAGAAACAGAGATAAATCAAGATTGTGGAAACACCATGTATCAAGTGAGGAGGAGTAACAATTGCAGACATGCATTCATGCTTTGTAATTTATAGCTCTTTCCTCATCTTTTCTTGGGGAAGGCCTTTGTTGTCAATGCAAACTTAGACGCTTGTGCAAACACACGGTGTTTATGTAGCACAGAGTAACAAATTTGCTTTACTGAATAGAAAGAAACAGATGTGATGGTGTCTGGAAAAAGATACTCATTTTAGTCTCACAAAAAGTTAGATTTGATGGTGAACTACATAGGTGTCCTATGTGAGATTGTAGAGCAAGAAGAGCAGGCCTTCAAAAAAGAAGGCATCAGACATCCCAAATTACTGTATAAAACTGTAAGAATTCATGCATTGCTGCCCTTCCTTAAACTAATCTTGAGACCAAAAGGCAGGATAAGAGGAGAGCAGAACTGTGAGATCAGTTTATTGAGGGAGGCTGTAATCACAGTGCCAGCCTTTCCCACCAAAGCCATTGTTGCGAACAAAGGAGCATAGCTGAAGCATGACTTCAGCATCCTGCACTATCTCTTTTATAAGGTCATTACATTTTTTTCCTCCCGTTATTGTTGTTGGGAGGAATGGAGAGGTCTTTGTGCTAGAGAACAGCTCTTCAATATTTTGCAGCTGGTCAAACGTCTGCCATTTCCCCTGCTAAATAGAACTACCTTCATCACCCCCTGCTCCCCCAAAAAGTGAAGGTCCCCATTATGAATCCATCAAAATACATCTCCTTCCTTTTACAGATGCAGAACACCGCCCTGCTATGAAATACCTGCCACCGCCTGGCAAGAGGTCCAGGGCTGAAGGTAAGATCAGAAATATGCACCGGTTGCCTCTTGGATAAAAACAAATAGCGTTATACTCTTAAAATGGATTGAAAAATACTGTAACTCTGTGTCCTCTGTCAGAGTCATTCAAATGGCATTAGTAAACCTTTGGTTAGACATCAGCATCCCAGGCAATTAGGAAGGAAAGGCCAGATGGGTCCACTTGGCTCTGGGGGAAGGTGGTAGTATTGCCTTTCTTCTACACAATTCTGTGCGTGGCTGGATGACCTATCTAGGGCTGGTGTGGAATGCAGGCCAGAACAGTAATTAATGCCTGCTCTTTAGCAGCCCTTTTCAGTTGTAGATCTCCAAGAAGGTGTGTTTCCTCATGTTTTACAGAGGGGGTAATTGAAGCCTAGAGAGGTGAAAGGTGTTGATCACCATTGTCTGACAAGTGGGTGACAGAAATCGGAGCAGGAGCACGTTTCCTAAGGCTCAGACAGGGGCTCTGTCATTTGCATTACAATGCCACTCCAGTCACCACGGAATTCACAGATCTTGGAAGTTCTTTCAAAGAACACCAATACTAAATAAAAAAATTGGTACTGTGAGGAAGTGAGCTAAAAATTTACGAGGCAAGGACCTCGAAGCTCGTTGCACCTTTTATGTGTACTCTTGTTATTCCAGGAAAATAAAAGACAGACATGTGGAAAGAGGAGAAGGTCTCATTAAACAAAAAGAACACTTTGGCTAGATACTTTCCAGGGCAATGTACCTGGAAGGTAGAAACACATGAATTTCAGACAGTAGTAAATACAAAAGAATGGTAATGATTTTGTTTCGATGAGCAGATTTTAGTTTTCTATCATCTGCCTTGCATGTCACACTGATTAAATTTGCTGGTCACTGGGAAAGGAAGTCCTTTATCAATCTGGTGCAAGCTTGTCCTCATTGTGCCCCAGTCCTAGATGATTTCCCAATTTGTGTGTGCCTTGAAGTGCCTTAAATTTTCCTTGCCTCTCCAGGTCACTGCAGGTTTTACATTAGACTGAAAGAAACATTTTTGTATAGGCTTTTGTCATAAGTTCTGACTGACCAGACTCCTTTTATACTGTTCTGCTCTTATCAAGAACCACTGAAGCGACCATTCCTGGCTGCTTGGGGAAGATCGGTGAGGTTTTATCAGCAGAGCTGAGGAAGGGACTGAACAACAGTTCTGGGCTCAGTGGGTGTGTAGTCAGAATACACAGTCCTGCTTGGCTTCCAGGGGCACCAGAGAGGACATTAAACAAAACACCTGAGCTTCTGGGACTTACACTGGAAACAAGACAGCTTCTAACTTGGCTGTGAAGTGTTGGGAGCACCAAGGTAGCTTAAAACCACTGTTAGCCACTCCCTGAAATACACAAAAAGGGTAACCAAGAATCAACATGATTTAGTACTTGCAGTCTATTTCAGGATATGCTATTGGGCTTACTGAAGAAGTGGTAAGTAGGACAGCTCCCAGGGTATCCCAATACATCTGAATGTCTGAAATCAAGCCATGCGTGTCCCCGTATAACACTTTAAAATAACCGTGTGTCCTAGCGATGATGGCTGCATTATGTAGAGATGATGGCAATATTCTCAAATTATTGTCCCAGAACATCCATACCACTTACTCCAATCTGTCTGCTTTTCTTATTTAGTGGGAGAGAGCCAGAGGCACCACGCAGAATCACTGTTTACCTACTTGCAAACAGGTGAGAGAAGAGCAAATGGAAAAATGTGGTTTGATAAGGACTTTGTGAAACCAGCTCATCTAGATATACCAGCCAATAAGAGGCAAAAGTATTATAACAACTTTTTTCCTTAGGCTTGAATGCAGGCAGTGGTATACATTCTTTTTTTGTAAGCATGGCAGGAAATATGGTATTTGCCTCTCTAGAGTTTACACTTATTTTAAGCCATGCACATATCTAAACTATTGTATATAAATAGTATATAAAATAAAAAGTATTTATCACAGTTACACTATGAAATCAAAACACATGTAATATTTTTTGGGGGGAAAAATATAATTGGCCTTGAGGAAGGGATCTAAAAATACTACAAAGCAGAAAAATATAACAAAGACCAGGTAACTTTGGCAAACCTGGAAAGGCCACAAAGCATTTGGAACTGGAGATGGAAATCAGGCATGCTTGAGGGCTGCCAAACAGGCACCTCTGGTAATGCATGATCAATAGAGGCTGTTCCCATTGATAGATAGCGGCATTTGCTCTAACTGTTGTCACTTATAATCACCGAGGAGAGAAAACTAGCTCTAGTGGCAAGGTGTTCCACCTATGTTCAACACGTGTCTTTGACCAAACCAAGCTGGCAAAGTGACATAAGACAAATCCCTCCTGAGGCATCTAAAGTACATAAATATGCAGCATGTAGTGATTCACATACCACAAGAATGAGAATGTTTGCCCAGAAACACAGCAGATGGTGAGTAAACCGTCTTGAGGACAATGGGCGCTTATGTAACAGCATACAGTCGAGACTGCCGGTCTGCACGCGAGCAGCTGAGTGGATCCGAGAGGGTTGCTTCTGCACTTGCAGGCTGTTGCTATGGCATTTAAACCTTTCTGTTCAAGAATGATGTGAAGAAAATAGCAGATCTTTAATAGGAGGGCTACCTGGACGATAAGGGTTAAGTTTCTATATCAAGTGGGGGGGGCAGTACTCTTGCTTTTTATTTTTGATCCCATATTTCTCTGTCATGAATCAGCAACATGCTTCTTGCCATTTGAAAATTACAGTATGCATTAAATTATATGTAGCATTGTTGATGCTTCATTGCGTCAACATCTGTATAATTAGTAGTGGCATGTACAGGAAACATAAAATGACATTTTATGTACACAAACAGATAATCATGGATCAATTTTAGCTGACTGAAGTACTGTTACCTCATGCTTCATGCTAATTGGCATGGTTAGGCACCAGCAGTTAATGGGTCCTAGCTGACTGGTTCCGACACTACAGATGCCAATACGTCTACAAAGGCTGTGGTTAGGATTCCTACTAATAAGGTACTTTAGATTAGCAAAACTAATAATTTCAAAATGCTGTCATTTAAAAATTAAATTTATGTATTTTCTGCCTTTTAACACATTTTGTGTCATCAGCAAAACTATCTTGGTCTGTTTTGGTTTCTATTTCTTGTAGCACACCGAGTGCTGCACCTGGCTGGCAGCTCTGCTGGGAGAGCTTTGTCAGAAGCAAAAAGTTTTTGCTGAAATTTCAAGTTTGGTAAACACAATTCTATTCATAATAGGTTTAGAACATTTATTGAGACCTGTCATACTTGTTAGTGCCTCTCTGAAACACAGCTATAACAGCGAGATACAGAACACTGAGAGATAAACTATAAGGAATAAGAATTTAATAGCTGTGTTAAGGATTTTATCACAGTTCACATGAAAAATGTAAAAGGGAACATTTTATCCCTCTTAAAACATTCATGTATCATATGAAGGATGGAGTCTTATCTTACAGACCTGCCACATAAACTTTTTGGACTCGGAGCAGATTTCCTGGGAAAAAAAAAATTTACAAGCCCTAGACTGTTTCAGATAAATTTTTAAACTAAAAATCAAACAAAACAAAAAAAAAAAAACCCACAAAACAAAAAATCATATATATACAGGGGTTTTTTGTGGACTTATTTTGTTCAAATTTTTATGAACTTCATGCCAGCTGTTAGATAACCCTCTTCTACAAATGTCTGTCCAGGCTAGTAAACAAATATTACTGTATGTTTTACCTCTGATTTTAGGAGCTGCTCAGGGTTTTTCACTGGTGTGCTTTGTTACAGGAGCCCAGATTCTTTGCACAGTGCTGCTGGTCAAACCTGGCGCTTGGAGCCGTAGCCTTGCAAGGATCCTCCGAAAACTAGACCTAGAAAAATTCAGTGTGGTTGGAATGAAACACGTAGACCTGGAACCAGACATTGCCTTAGGCCTCCTTTCTTCCGAAGTGAAACAGGTTTGTTAAGAAACTGGCAGATCTGCGGCTATCCTTATGTTTAGAGTGGGGAAATATGTTAGCTAGTGAACAGTCCGTTCCTGAAAAGAACAAAAATTCCCATCCAGGATTTCTGAGTTGTTGTTAAAAGTGAGCTATATAGAACAATCAGAACTGTACCAGTATCAGACACAAAGACAGTTGATGTGCTGACGGTTTCTTTTATCGCATGCCATAAAGAAGCAGACCTGGTTTCTCTGAAACACAGGTTTGGAGGATATGGGCAATACAGACCTCCCAGGAATCTGTTTAGTTGCTAATTTAGAACACTGACTCTTTAACTGCGAAACAGGTGTGCTCTCTTTCTTCCCCAAGGTCATTCCAGGTAGGGCACATCTAAGGAGCATACCACACCCTCTGCACGTGTGCCTGGTTTTGCTTCCATGTGTTTAGCCCTGGGAGCTGGGAAACCTTCATTGCACTGTCAGAGAATATATACCTCTTGAGCCTGGTTACTTTATATTACATTACATGTACGGCTGAATCTCTGCTCCAGGAGCGTGTGTTCAAGAGCCTGTAAAAATGACCTGCAAAGAGACAAAAATGAGTTACTGTCATTTCTAATGTCTATTAGACGATAAAGAAGGTTCTTAAATCTTAGGGCATTATGGCTTTTTGTTAGCTAAAAATAGATTATGTTCCTGCTCTTTTATAACATTAGAAATTATTTTTTCCCCAACCTGGAATATCCTGAGATAACAGGACATGAGTGTAAAGATATTGTGAAAGCCAGGAAACTGAAAGCTGAGCATTTTAGAGGAGTTAGATCTTTTTTATTTTTTTTTTTCCATTTGAGGCGGGTGGGGAGGGAATTGTTGATTGATTTCATGAAGACATTTATCCAATTAACTTACAGAAAACAGACCTTTATAATCAATATTGCTCTTGGGTTAAGTTGGGAGAGTTTATAGCACTGTCTCATAGAAATCCTTAATAGAGTCTTCCAGAAGAAGACAGGAACATGCCAGGACAATGCTCTAATGTAACCATCAAACAGGAATAATTAATACCTTCTGCATGATAGCAAAGCAGTGAAGCACAGGCATCTGATTTTTGAAGATTTAGAGACCACTGGTAAGAGGGAGATTGTGTCTATTGGAGTTGATGGGGAAGTGCTTTCCAATACAGTTTTTAATCATACAGCTAAATACAAAAATGTTTAGTTGATCATCTGAAGCAGAAAACATTTTAAAACATCCAAATGTCTACCTCGGGAAGTGATGTAGATATATGTGGGGTAAATTTGAAGAGAGGTTGTTTCACGGAAATTTGCTCTTGTTTTTGGAGTTCTCTAACACAGTAGAGCAGCTGTTGAGCATTAATTTAGTTTCCTTGAAGAGCTGGTGACTAATGAGTTCAGAAATTACAGACTATTGGGGTTTTGTTTGTGGAAAAAAACCCGGATTTTGAAAGAGAGAAAGCAGAGATAATAGACTGCCTTTGGCAAGGGGAAATGGACAGTAGGAAATGCTTTCTGCTGTACAGGGGCTCCTTCTCATTTTTAGAACACATCTGAAAGTCTTTCACTCATGAGGGCTGAAAAAGGCTGAGCTCCCAAGATAAGTAGGTAGATTTTCAAAAAGCCTCAGCATGCTTCAGGGACTGGGTTATTTTGAAAATCTGGCTTGTAAGTGTTACAATGGCAGCTGGTGGGGGCAGAACTGTTTTTCACAGCTGAATTTCATATGAAGTATTTGAGTAGGAGCGATGTTCATTGTCGATCTGTTTCTCAGTTTAGGGGACAAGGGGATACAATGCTGTTTTCAAAACAAGGCTCTTAATGTGGGGACAAATCGCTGAAATTTAGCACCTCCTGTTGAAGAACATGGAGCCAGTGTGTCTGACCCTTCTAGAAATTGTGTCCAGGGCTTTCTGTCTCCTTCCCACCTGGAGTGTGATCCAAAATCCGTCACCAAAAACCTCTAGAAAACTCCCGTGTGCTCTGCAAAGTGTGAGTTTATTGTATGTACGTAGTACTTGATAGCAGGTTTGGGTTTTATTCACTGTTAGCAAGACTACCTAGCATCTCCTTCCTCTTTCTGATGTGTTATTTACATGCACATTGACAAATAGCCTCAGCAACATGATTTCAGAAACAAGACTGCTTTTTCAACTTAAATACTAACATTCAGCTTCTGAGTAGCTTTTGGCCTTTGGCATTACAATAAATAATAGATCGGTCTGCTGTTTGCTGAGGTTATCTAATTGCAGGAGCCATGATAATGCTTTTTATCTGAAGTTTGCTAATAAAAAAAAATAAAGGTCAGGTAAATAGAGCTGATATTGTCCTCTCAGCTCTCAGCATGATATGATCATGTTCAGACTGTGAGAAGCAACTGCTCCCAGAGGGAGTTCTGCTTGTGGAGGCTTGTTGGGGTTTAACCCGGTCGGCAACTAAACACCACACAGCTGTTCGCTCACTCTCCCTGCTGCAGTGGGATGGGGGAGAGAATCAGGAAGAAAACCAGTGAAATTCTTGGGTTGAGATAAAGACAGTTTAATAGGACAGAAAAGGAAGGGAAAATAATAATAATAATAATGGTGATAAAAAGGATATACGAAACAAGTGGTGTGCAACGCAATTGCTCACCACACGCCGACCGATGCCCAGCCGGCTGAGCAGCACTTCCGGCCAGCTTTCCCCGTGGTTTGTATACGGAGCGTGATGTCACGTGTTATGGAATATCCCTCTGGCCAGCGTGGGTCAGCTGCCCTGGCTGGGTCTCGGCGGCCTGACCCTCCAGCCTCTTCAGTAGTCGGGCAGTGTGAGGAGCTGAAAAGTCCTTGACTCTATGTAAGCACTGCTTAACAACAACTAAAACATCAGCGTGTTATCAACGTTATTCTCATCCTAAATCCAAAACACAGCGCTGTACCAGCTACTAGGAAGAAAATTAGCTCTGTCCCAGCCAAAACCAGGACAAGGCTGTATCTCCTTTCTGTGCTTATCCAGCAGATCAGCCCTGCAGAGATTCGCAGTTTTGGCTGCCAGCTAGAAAGCTTGACTTTACAGTGGGATCTGATCATTCTGTTGGGGTTTACCTGATATGATTGCCTGCAGTAGCAGGTCACTGGACTCAATAACTTGACGGATTCCCTCCAGTCCTATCTTGTGATTCTAACGGTAGAGGCAGAAGGACAATTTTGCTGCTTTTTAGTCCTGTCAGTCCTCCAGAGCCAGTGCACAGCTGGAACTTCCTCTCCGTGTGCATCAACAAAATTGCTCACTGAATTCAAGTCAGCTGCACATGTGCAATCTCACCGCAGCTGCTCGGGTATCAGCAAGGACATGGTTTGAAGACGGTGGGGAGGCAGGATGTAAATAAAGCCATCATTTGGCTGGCAGAGTCTAGAGCGGATGTGAGGGTCTATCAGAAGGAAAGAAGTCACCTTGGCTCCCTGACACCGTCGGCAGCAGTTAGAAACAACATTGTCTTTAGCCCACAGTCTGCATGTTTGCTGGGGAACAACTGAAAGACAGGAAACAGAGACAAAAGGGTTTTGTTATGTAGATCTAAAAGCACTGTTTAGAGGCTTTGGAACAAAATAATTTCATTTATTATGGCCTTTTTAACAGAGACTATGTCTTTGAACGTTTTCTTTTGCAGATGTTTCTGACATGGATGAATGTTGATACGTTATATCCAGTCCTTTTGAAAGTTTTCATGAAGTCATCATCACTGTTCTTTATTTCCCAATGAGAAGGCCCTTAGAAAAGTGGATTATATACATATTTTTTAATGAACAAAAATTTTCAAGCAAAAAGTGTTTGTTTTGTATTACACAGAACAGAATGAATGTGGTGTTCAGTTTTGGGCCCCTCACTACAAGAAGGACATTGAGGGGCTGGAGCGTGTCTAGAGAAGGGCTATGAGGCTGGTGAAAGCTCTAGAGAACAAGTATGAGATGTGGCTGAGGGAGCTGGGGCTGTTCAGTCTGGAGAAGAGGAGGCTGAAGGGGGGACCTTATTGCTCTCTACAACTACCTGAAAGGAGGGTGTAGCGAGGTGGGGGTTGGTCTCTTCTCCCAGTTAACTGGCGATAGGACAAGAGGCAATGGCCTCAAGTTACACCAGGGGAGGTTTATATTGGATATTAGGAAACATTTCTTTACTGGAAGAGTGGTCAGGCATTGGACCAGGCTGCCCAGGACAGGGTTGGAGTCCCCATCCCTGGAGAGGTTCAAAAAATGGGTAGATGCAGCACTTGGGGACATGGCTTAGCAGGCATGGTGGTGCTGGCTTGATGGTTGGACTAGATGATCTTAGAGGTCTTTTCCAACCTCAATGATTCTGTGATTCTATAATGTCAGAATTTTGCAGTAGACTATGGCGTGCTGAAACTCTTCATCCTCATTTAAGCAGAGCTCTCTTATCATGGGAGAGCCTGTGAAGCTTTCCTGTATGTTTTGCGTGTGCAATCATGTGATGTGACTGGCATCCCAGGGTTTTCTTTGCCCTGTGTTTCCGTGGGGTGGGAGGCTTGGCAAATATCACAACTTGTATTAAATCCCTTACATAACTAACCAAATTAAGAATGGGGGGCTTTCTCATGAATCATTCTGCATTTTCAAATACAGGAGAGAATATCAGGATTGAGCCAGCAGTTTTCAATTTATATCCTACTTCTTAGAAATGCAGTTTAGGAGGAGTGTGAGTGAGAGGATTTGGCTCAAAGTCAGTGAATGGTTTCAAATGATAGAAAAGCAAAAAGGCCTTGAAGTATTTTATCTCCATATTTTTAAATGAAACAATGGGATTTTCTTTTGGAAATGTTTTATCTAGAGAATTGCTGTACTCTGGTGCTTTTAGAAGATTTGAAAGGAGAGGAATTAAAACCTGTAGGGGACTGAATGATGTGCTTCAGCTGAATCAAACGGTGGTTTTTCCCCCTTGTTTTCATTTCCTCAAAAATTGGAAAAAAGTAAAAAAACATGGCTTGGTTCTGTCAGTGAGCTGAAAATGCTGTTGTTTCTGAGCTGTACAGAATTTACAGTGCTGGCGTGGAGCTTCCCTGCAGCAGATGTGTTGCCACACTGTGGAGCGGAGGGAGGCAGACCTGGGTGCTCAGCCACTTTCTTAAGATGAAGGGGGCAGGAGAAGGAAGCCTGCAGCTGCTGTGGGCACCCTGACCTCGTGCTCAGTAGAGACATCTGCAACAAGCCTGGCTTTCCAAAGTTTTGCTTAATTAAGACAGTCAGCAAGGCTGTGAGTGCTCTGCCGCTCCTTGGTAGCCTTCTGCCCCAGACGCTTGCTACGTTTCACCATGCTTCTCAATCATTATGTCTGTCTCCAACCTACAAATCTTCTCATTGGCACAGTCGTTGCTAGTTATCATTGCCACTCATCCTTAGTTAAAATAAAGATCACAGGGCATTGTGACCTGCACAACTACAAGGGGAACATCTCAGCTCAGGAGTGGTCACAGACTGAACTGACAACGCTTGGAAAAGGAGCAAAGATAGAGAAATTTGTCGTGGAGCACAATGAATCAGTGGCAAAGCCAGGAGGGTGAACTGTTTTTCTTTCAGCCCATGTCTAGTGCCCTGTCCTGAGCCTCCCTGTTTAAAGCTCATACTTCTGTCGTCCTGGTCCTAGCTAGGGTATGATATCCTACCACCCTCTGGGAGAAGCTGTGCTGTAGCAACCGCATGGGTGTGGGGGTCCTTCCTTTTGGGAATTCAAAAAGAAAAGTTCTGGTATTTGTAATCCATCATTTTATGTCAGCAGAAGAATTAAATGTGGCTCATCATCCCAGAGCTTTTATGGTCCTGCTGATATTGCTAATGTCTATTGGTTCCACCCTATCTGTATGTCACACTGAAGGTACTGTGAAAAAGGTATTGCATAAATCAAAAGTTCAGCTGTAGACAAGTAAACTGCAGAGTAGTGATTTGCTTTTGTCCTTACCCCCTGAAAGTGTACTCCACCTCTGGTACCTAGCATGTACAGATATGCAGAGCAAATCACAGCACAAGGCTTTTCTGTCTTTTAGAAAGAGAATTTTGTTTCCTTTCTTACTAAAAGATTTTAGGAAATTACTGCTGGAGTTGTTTGTAAGTGTAAAAACTACCGTTGGCTGGTCTATGACCATGGGGACTAAAACCACAAGCTGCTATGGCTTAAACTCAGTGCTTAACTTCTTTAGCTCTGTGTGGACTCAGGGTGGGAACTAGACCTCCTGTACCTGGTGGATATCATGACAAATACTGGCTTGGGTGGCCATGGTATATACTCTGGAAGCTCTGCCTGCAGAGACCACTAGCAGTTATATCACAAAGAGGGGAAAAAGCAAGGGTAACAGCAGATCTGTTTGCTTCAAACAGGGATGGGTGTAACCAAAGGAAAGCTGGGATGTGCCCAGCGCTCACCAATGCTGTTCGTTATAACCTGTTCTCTCCCTGTTACTTCTTTTCAGGATCCAGCTGTGTTAGAAGCTCATTGTACCTACCTTACCTCAGGTACTGCTCTCGTGCTGTGTCTTCAGAGGCCAAATGCTGTGAAGAAGCTTTTAGATTTACTGGGGCCAGAGGATCCTAAACAAGCCCAGGCACTAGATCCGTTCCTCTGGCGGGCTCAGTATGGCATCAGCACAGTCCAAAATGGATTTTACGGTAGGTTTTTGTAAAAGAAAAGTTAAAGGCTTAGATATGCCAATGGAAAAAAATATATTATGTCCTGTTACCTTCTGCATTGTCAGTACAAATCTAGACTTGGCAGGCAGTAGAGACCATTATTCCCTAGAAGGCTTTCATTGTTTTCTTGGTGGCTGAGCTGAGTATGTCTCAAGCTATGAAACATCCTCTCAGAACATATATTAAAAAAAAATTTCCTCCCGTAACAGCCCTAGGTCTTCCATCAGAACAGATTTTCTTTGATCTCTCCACTGCTTGGTCATTTTGTACTTTTAGCTTGGTTGTTTTGTAATTATCCCCAAGAAACCATCTGTCTTCTGTCTGCTTGTGAGTCCCCTCCTGATAGCTCCATAACCCACTGGCCAACAGCAACAAGATTTCACAGAGGGGTAAAAGACTCCAAGATGCTGAGTTGCTATAACATCTGAAAACATTAATGAATGGCTAGAGAAAGGTGATCGAAAATTGCTTTCCCTGAGGAAAGCAGGTAAATTCAGCTGCTTTCCAGTCGGAGAGGCTCTTGCCAGCTGGCATATCAGCAGAGGCACACCAGCTAGTCAGCATCTCCAGTGTGCTGAACCAGCCACCGTTCATCTGCCAGCAGGAAGGGACCTAGGATGTTGCAGTGTGTACGGTGGGTGGGTGGGAGGAGAAGTAGCTGAGAGTGTGGGTGAAGGATGAGGAAATGGGAAGTATCACGGGAGAGAGTGGCCTGTGGAGAACCAAGGGTATTGCTGGAGGGGGCCTGGGCTGGTGCCACAACGAGTGAAGGGTGCAACTGAAAAATTCATAAGGAATTAAGCATCATCAGTTCACTGTCCATGAATAGTAGTGTTTTTCCTCGATATGGTGCTGTATGTAGTTAAAGGTATGTAAAATTAATAAAATCAATAGTTTCTATAAACACAGGTGAGCTAGCAGGCACAGTATGCCTTCAGGTTTCAGAAGAACTGTCCTGTCAAGATCCATTGGATTATTTTGCTCTTTCTATTGTATTCTGTACTCTCAAATCACTCCCTCTTTTCATCCATATCAAGTGGTCTTCTGAGGAGAACTGGTAGAGAATGAAGCTTGTACACCATGTACAGCTTGGGGAAAAGAACCAACCCCTTGATGGAGAATCTTCTTTTATCAGATATGATCATAATCCTTAGGACGAAGACTAAACCGAGAGAGATCTCTCACCATGATTACTCACAGGATCTCATTCATGGGAATGACTGAAGTGCAAGATCTACCTACACAGAAGAAATGGTCAGGGCTCTTCAGCTAGTACTTTTCCACTATCAGCCCCTGATTCTTTTACTCTTAAGATTAATGGATTGTTTATCCAGGTTGCCTTGAGAATGAGAACTCATCAGTCATGGCTGAGAACGGGTAATATATATCCAAAACTTAAGATACCCATGCTACAGTTAGAGCATCCCTAGCATAACTGAGTTAAAGATTACTTTATATTAGCAAGAGAGGCTGAGTCTCATCCTGTCTTTCACTGAGAATCACAGAGAACTCCCTGTGTTAGAGAAACCCTCAGATCTCTGCTTTGGCATTCCCTTCAGATCTGTGCTTCCTTCTAAGACTGGGCTGAGCTCAGAGCTGAACCACTTTACCACCACCTGCGCTCTGAGACCATGTTGTGGATTATGTTGGAGCCAGCTATGCAGTTGGCTCATGAAGCCATCCTTGCACACATTCAAGGAAAAGGAATGCAGCTGTATCTAATGTACTTAGTAATTCTGACGCAAGAATCCGATCCAGCCGCTGTGCCAGGGAGGTGTCTGTCCATAAGGAAAGGAGTGTTCATAACCCTTTGCACCTCCAAGAGCCTGTATGCCAAGAAGAGTGAAACATTTACCTATAAGTTAAGCAGGAAGAGCTTAATCACTGCGCGAGTAATCATTTAGGGGACTGGAAGACCATCTTCCTTTTCTAGAAAGGAATACCAGGTTTTCTCAGTTTTGCCCTAGCTGAGGAAGACTTCTAGTTAATGCCATCTTGCTGAAGGAGAGAAAACTCTAGCTGTGTGTTTCCTCCCAGAGTGACTGGGGAAATTCAAGTAAGATGAAGACCAGGCGCCAGTGATGCAGTCAAACCAAATAATGCAGTTTTAATACTCTGGGGCTCAGCTACAGAGGTAAACCTGCTCTCCTCTCATCTCTTCTGGGTCTTATGAAGTCATTGTATAGTGCTTTTTCTTGAACTCAAAAAGCTCTTGCACATGCATCTTATACAGTCTTACACCTTGAGGAAAGTGAGAGTAAAATGTTGCTAGCTTTGGGAGCATTTGTGTCCTCTGTAACGGCATAGATGATTTAAACAAGGACAATTTGATGTAGAGGTACATAAAGGATACAGCACGACTTATACGCTGGTGACTTATGCAATCTTAGGGTTGTAAACTACTGTATTAAGGACTCTGGCTATACAAAACCTAGAATTATGAAGTTCAAACAGGGCTGAGTGGTCCAAGAGCAGTAAGACATGGTTCTTTGAATGGGTAGCCTGCAAAGGTGGTAATATTTCAGAGGATATTTGTGTTTTGTGTATTTGTATCCCAGGAGCATGGATCTGTGCCAGCACATTGACAATCTGAACTCCAGTTATATAGAAATAGCTTTGCCTTCTCTAACATTTTCCACCCACAAATCTCGAAACATTTTGAGTAGTGCTTTATAACACTGTTGCTTTATAGGGAAATATTCAGATGCTAAGCCTGGAGGGACCTCTCAAGTCACTGAGTTCAGTTAATTCTCTCACAGACAGCCACATCATGTATTCCCTTTCATAAGCATCCACCCCAGTTAGAGGCTGTCACAGAACTTCACTGCTTTGATAACTAGAAATCTTCTTACATTTTCAAACTTAAATATAGCCCTATACAGATTGTATCCATTTGTCCTTGTGCCAACACCTGTACTTTAATTTTAAGTAGTTCTTTTTTCTGCTCTGACATTTTCCACCCTCATGTGTTTATCAGAAATCAGATTCCTTCTCAGCTTTGTGTCCTGTTGGGTCAAACAAGCCAAGGTCTTTTAGGTTTAACTCTTCAGATGATCCTTGTGTTCTTTCTCTGTACCTGTTCCAGTCTCAATTTACCTTTCATGACTGTGAGTGAACAGAAAAATATACTACTATCAGCAATGTCTCATTCTGATTTCTGTTGTAAATCAGAGCCCCCAGCATATTTGAGACTTACATTATTGTTACTAAGCACAGTTGTCTTACTAACTAGAAGCTCCTTCCCGTTCAGTAAGACCAGCCTTATGTGATCCAGAAGCAAAGGAAAAACAGTGGGGGATTGGAGCAGGTATTGATGAGTTTCACAGGCTCCGTAACATGATTCCGTTGACTACGCTGTTAGGAAATAGAAGGAGTCTTGTTTACATGAAGAACAAGCTGAGCGATAATAGGACAGAATCAAAATACCAAGAAGGCAATAGAACTATTCTAAATATAATGGTTTAAAATATTTGCTATTACTGTACGGAACAGCTGGCCTTTAAAGCAATTACTTCAGTAAGTTGCACATCATCAATCTCTCAGAAAGATGAGTGTGAGTCTAGAGAATGTTTAATTCATGGCCTGAGAGAATCTTCTCATTGTATTTATCTCCCAGGCTCCAAATCCTATCAAATAGCTGTCCGGGATATGAAGCTGTTTTTCCCAGAAGGGCTGTGCTGCGCCGAGTGTCAGACATTAGAGGAGGAAGAGGTAGGATTCTGCCCTTTCCTGAGAAGTACCCTGCTGTGTCAGAGCAATGGCTTTGGCCCTCCTGTCCCATGACTTCTTTCTTATTATGCTTTGGATAATGCTTTTTTTGCTGTGTTTCACCAGCTGCCAAGTTTTCCCTCTCCTGTGGATGCTCTACCACAATATGCTGACTTTGTATTGACCCAGACAGTCTCAGTGGAAAAGTGCTTTTTCAGATATGTTTGTTCAGTTACCTGTGTGCTAAATTCAGGAGGGCTCACGGCTCATGCTTTAGAAGCAAAGTTCCCAGACAGAGTCAACATTGCTTTGGAAGCAGGTCACGGGGAGGGACAGCAGCATCATCGATGATTGCTAAGATGCAGTTGGCCCAAAGGCTGGTTTTTTTTACCAGCTTTTCTCATGTAGCGTTCCAGAATGGAGATGAACTGGGATGGCTGATAATGTAACTTGCTGGTTGCTGAATGTCTCCCATGGAGTCTGTACAGATCCACACACTCATAGCATGGAGCACTGCCCTATTTGTGTCACAAGGATGTTGTCCCTTGTGCCCTGCCAGTAGAGGTACCAGTCCATAGCAATGAAAGGGGTGGAGCTGTCTCATGTAAGACATCTCATGCTGTAAAGTACAGGCACAGTTTGCAGAGCTGCTGGGTGCCCGTGTCCTTCCCTGCCTGCAGGCAGAGGCATCAAGACTCGGACTCTTGCCTCTTGGTTTGCATCGTGGGCAGTGCCGAGAAGCCTACCAGTAGTGGTGTGGCCCCCTTCTGCTTGTCTGGCCCTTCACACTATGTAGCTGCTGGTCTCTGATTCAAACCACTGTAATTTGCCAATGGCTAAAACAGAACAGTAAGTTTTTCCTGTTCAACTAGTTTTGTTTGTTACTTCTACTCTGATCATTTTCTTCTCAAAACCAGTTTGAAATTATTGGGTTATGCCCAACAAAGGGATGGGATTTTCTGAGCTTTGCTATGTCCCTGTGGCACAGAGGTGACACACCTGAATTAGTCCAAGGAGATTAGCTCTGGAACTGGAAGCAGCTGGCCACATCTGGAGTATGCTTCACTAGTGTGAATGCCCTCCCACTGCAACTCAGACCAGAGCATCACGACTGCACTGTGCTGGGATGCGTGGATGTGCCAGTTCATTCAGAGTCAGAAGGGAGCTGATACACACCAGTTTGGCACTGGATAAAGATGCCAGAGACTCACAGTCCTTGAGTTACTGGCCTTGAAAAGATGGGAGCAGAGACCTTAGAAAGATGTCTGGATGTAGGACCTTTAAAAGGATGACAAGATGCCATACTGAATTAAGCCTCAATAAAAAAAGAACACATGCAAAATGTTCTTGTATCTCTAGACAAGCAGGTGTTTTCTAGGCTGGCAATTACAGAAGTACACTACACCAACAAAAGCTTCACAGCTTGCCTGAATCAATACGTAAGAAGTGTTATCCTTTCTGATTAGGTAACGGTGTTCCCATGACTTGTCTCTCGCTCACTCCCTTCTCTCCTGCAGATCTATAACCTGAAACGTGACCCCGTAGTCGGTTTGGAAATCAGCAAGCAACACAAGATCATAAAACGTGAAACAGGAGGGCAACTCAATTTATTGGGCTCTGAGCAACCATGCAATCTTGGTAAGGAAATGTGTAACTGTTGTTATAGATTGAGACTGTTATTGATTAATTGGACAGTAAGACAAACCATCTGGTGGCAGCAAGATTTGGTATTGATGTCCTTTCAGAAAGGAGAGACAACTCTGAGCTGCAGACAGCTCCAATGGAGCCCAGCCATTTAACTGTTTACCTGCCAGGCCTTTCCACTTCCAGCGCTTTCATGGATTTAAATATAGGGCTGTTGAGAGCGCTGATCTCATCACCAGCAGCAGAACAAGCACTGTCAACACAGCTAGTGTAAGCAACAGTGCACCTTTCTCTGCTGAATTTTGACAATGCATTTCAACACCAACATGGCTGTGGTGGTTGGCATGTCCGTTCAAAGCCTGCCACGGGAGAGGCCAAGAGACCATAGTGATGGGCGATTGTGAGATGTTTTGTTCTGTGAAATGAGTAAATAACAATTTATGCAGGGAGTCATTTTGGCAGCGTGGACATCTAACTCTCAGGAACTGTCCTGAGATCTCATTCAGTTCCCACTAGCTGCTGAAGAGCTGCTAGCTCAAAATGACTTCCAGGTGTCGCTGGTCTCAGTTTGGTTTGAATTCAAAGCTTCAGCAAGCCTGTCAGTTCCCTCAGAAGCCTACAGTTTCTCTGGGCCTTTTCTGTCGATTTTACTTGATAGGCATGTGTACAACACAGGCTGCGATGCAGCACCATTTATGTGGGGAGACGTAACTAACACATGGGGGTGCTTCCATGTCGGGATACTGTGGGCTGATCCCAAGTCTTTATAAACAAGCAGCAACCAGGTAAAGCATCCCTGTGGTGTTCACTGAGGAGCAGATGTATTTGGAACCGGATTGTTCTCATTCCTGTAGCTTGAGTTCTGGTGTGACTGGCAAGCAGGAGGGTAGGCAGCTGAGAAAATGTTCCTGTGCTACACCCAATTTCTGCAGTTATTAATCCCAGCAGTAAAATCACGAGATTATTGTGGAATGGCAGAAGAGTACAATAAAAATGCTAGAGAATTACAGGCAGTCACCTCCCACCTCAAACCCTTACTGATACACGACTTTTGGGCATTGACCCATACCAGCAGGTGCATGGGACAGCACATGTAGGAGTGCAAGGGGGATGGGGGTAAATCAAGGCCTTTGCCTCAATGGCAGCATAGCTGCTTGTTAGGCACCGAGTCACTGTTGTGTAGGGGGTCTCTGAAGGAGGCTTTTTCCCAAGGTAATTATCAATTAAATCTTTCTACTTGTGGCTTTGGGCTATGCCCTATGCGTGCTTCATGATCATTACAAAAATCACACATCCTCAGGCAAGCTCCTCTTCTTACGTTGCACACTTAATATATCAGAGACTGACTGCATGAAGGTTTAAGACATAACTGATGCCTGTGGTGAGGGGTGAGGCCTATCTTGCAGCGTTGTTGACATTCCCGAGCCGTTGTATGAGTCCTGAAACAAGAGCTTGGCAACTGCGCATATGTGACAGCAGCTTTTTTGAGACAAGCGGGCTGTTCAGCATGTAGCTGTCTGACCTTCTTGTCTGGGTGGCTGCAGAAATGTGATCATATTGTTGTGTTTCTGGTGGGGTGTGTCAGCTCAAGCTGTGTTCAGAGCACAAAGCTGCAGTGAGAAGAGGCTTGCAGGTGTTCCCAGTCCAAAATATCCTGGGTTGCTGTTGCTGACAGGCAGGGTATTTCCCCATCAACTTATTGCACGATGAGAAAGGACCAGGCCTGTAGCACAGGTCAGTGGTGACTGAAGCACTTCTTGATTTTTAGAAGAGATGGCAGAAAATAAAATAATAGAAAATAGCTTGTTGTAGAGAGAGTGCAGGTATTCTGCAAGCTTTGTACAGCCCAGCGTTGGAAGCAAATCTCAAAATATGTGTCCCTCATTTCCTGCTGCATGAGGATCTTTTTGCTTTGAAGATGTCTAAGCAGAGTAAAAAGGAAACCAGTGTACAGCCCTGATGCGTTTGTGTCTCAGAAAATGTATTTCAAAGAGTTACTGTCCTGGAAAAGCAAGTACACGTGATCTCTGAACTGTCAGGCACAATATAGTAAGCGCCTCTGGCAAACCAGACACATCATTCACTTTGGTCTCATCTTGAACACTAGAGGTAGCTCTTGCACACAAAGAATCCTGTCCTTTCAGCAAATAATTATCACAAAGCTGCTGCCTAGTGGACAGACAGATTTATCATGAGGAAAATATGAAATACAGTAAGTCTTATGTATGCTGATCAGAATTACATTTTGGATTATAAAAGCAGCTGGATTAACAGATTTCTTTGCTTGGAAGAAATTAAATGGAATAGTATCTCCTGTAGCAAACCAGCAGAACGTCCTTGTCTGACTCCTGAAATGGGGTCACTACGGCTGTCTTGTGATCTCCGGATACGTACACATAGGCGTTGTATGCAGTTTGACAGTTCAGGATGAGCAATTGCATCTGTGAACATCCCAAACAACATAACAACGCCTGAGTGCCTCTGATCTTCCAGTTACTTGTCTGCGGCAGGGAAGAATTACTTAGAGGGTAGCAGTTGTGGGGGGTAGATATAAAACAAGCATCTGTTGTGTTTTGATCTTTTCCCATCAGATCGGCCATTGCTTGATAACCTCTGCCAAACCACTTGCCTCGTATTGCCTGGGATAATCCTTCGGGGTTCAGAGCACCCACCTTATGTCGAACTGCTTGATCAGCTTATTGGCAAAGACTTCACAGTGACTGGAGTACGCCTCACTGTCCTGGACACACCGCAAGCTCACTGCATCTCTGAGATACTAAGCAGGCCAAAGTGCAGTGTTGCAGCAAAGGTATGAAACAGCTGGAGCTGGGCTTTTCTTCCTTCACGCAAAAGAAGAGCCTTTTAATGCCATGCTGTGCTGAGATATCCAGGCTAGCTCTGGGCAGACTTGCTTTGGTAACAGTATTAGCACAGCACTGCATCTGAGCTCTAATACCACTGGTAAATAACATGGGCAATGTGCCTCGTTAGCTAGTCCCTACCTTGTGTTCCTGTATCTCCGCTAGCTCACTGACACCCAACCTTGACATCATTATGTGTGAACATATCCTTACTGTGAACACTGAAATTTTATTCCATTCACCTATCAGTGTGCAGTTGCTGCTATTATTTATGTTCTGCTGCTGTATCCTGTCTTGTTTCTCTATATAAATACAGTTTCTGTTTCTCTAATCACACCCCATTAATCCTCTTCTACAATGCTAAATAACCCTTCCACTTTTTGGACTGTGCCCTGGAGTCCTAGGCAGAGATTTCATTTTGCTTCTCTTTTAGTTGATGCTGACAGCTCAAGCTGCAGTCCAGCATGGGATTTGAGCAAGTGCTCATGGGGCTGAAGCATGAGATGTGCTTCTGGGGTGAGCAGATATGTTGCTTTACAGCAGCAGGGTATCTGGCCCAGGCTGTCTTTCTCTTTGCACTTGGTGTAGGAGAAGCCCACTGTTTCAGGAACCTTACTGGGGCAGAGCAGTAAGGTAGAATGTGCAAGGAAGTGCAGTCAGGAGCACAGAGTAAACAAGGGGGGAAACTACTTATACTGGAAGTAGCAATCAACAAAGGGCTGTCAAAGACACACAGCAGTCCCTCTGAAAAAATACAAACATTTGTGCTTCCAGCTTTTCAGTATGAGTCTTAGGTGTTATCTGTAATAAGAACAGGTAAAATCTTTTCAGGTTGTGATTTTTTAAACTGACAGCACCCCTTTGAAGTATGACTCTGTAGAATAGCAATTACATCTAGCATCCAATTAGTCTAAGCACTACTTTCTTCTCCTGCGGTTCCCCTGAGGATGCCATCCCTCTGCACAGAAGCATGTGCACAGCCCTCTAGGAAGGACAAAGCGAGTCAGTGTGTGGGCAGGAGAGCTATGGCAGCGGCACTGCTCTCCTGGAGATGGAAACACTTCCTCCTGTCAGAGATGAATTACTCTGAGCAGAATTGGCATGTTTCCAGAAGGGTCTGGCACTGCTGAGCCAAAGGTGAACATTACAATATTTGCTTTCCCTTGCCAGAAGAGAGATGGGCGCCTTCAAGTAATAAGTGTTCTGCTACAATATCTCAACATTTACTGTTATCTCTGTATTCCTGCTTCCAGCAGACTTAGTGACTGAATAGCACACCTAAGTAACCTGCTTATTTTCACTCTGAGAGAAGGGAACAGGAATAATAGTATGCCATAGGAGCAGGATAACTAGCAGTTCAGACATGATACTCTTTCAATTTGAAAGAGTCCGTTGCTTTGTGACTTTCATCCCCTCACACAGCACACAAGCAGTTATCTGTGCTGTCAGTGGTTCATCAGTGAGGCTTACAGACTTATTTAAGTGGATAGCAACACCAAAGCTCTGTTCTTCCTTCTCTTGTAGTGTTCCCTCTTAATGGATGGTTTGTGTCTGGTGCTAGCAGCACAGCGAGACAATACGGTTGTTTGCTTTGACTCCCTGCTGGACAGGTAAGCGAGGACAGTGTCGTTCTAACAGCACTGTCCTAACCCCTGCTAGAGAGCTTGTGATCTGAAGGAGGACAGCTGAATTTCTTGTTCCAGCTCAGACTCCCATGAGGTCAGGTGCCACTCAAAGGCAACCCATTCTTCCTGAGTTATGTTGTTGTTAATGGGTCAGTACCTCGGAATGTTCCCCAGTTTCAAAGTGATGTGTGCTGTACTCAGGACCTTGAATACTGAGTTGTGTTGTTTGTTAAGGACCCAGAGTGTCTGTGAGGCTTGGCAGCATGGTTCCACAAATACAGGCAGTTCCCTGAAATAAGGGCTCACATTGGGAATAGACCTGCTGAATCAATAAAATTCCTAGGAGAAATATCTTAGCAGCTTATGTTTGCTATGAAAAAAATACTTAAATTCCAGAGAGCAAAATCAAAAATTAGCCTCTTAAATAAATCACCAGAAATGCTGGGTAGAGGATATATAAGCCTGGTAAAACAAACAGAACCCACCTACAGGGACTGATTACTGAAATAGAATGATTATCAGGCCAATTAACCCACTGCTCCCCAGAGGGAAAGTTTCCTTGCACAGGGGCTGGTATTTGGTAATGCGATGCGTAGTTCATGCACATGGATTCCTCTGGGAAAGGAAGCCAAGTCAGTCTATTTTCTGACACATTTGGTATAGAGCAGTCCAGCAGCCACACAGATAAGACTGTCGTGACTGGCTGTACACACCGATAAGACTGTCGTGACTGGCTGTACCATCTAGAGGGCTTCCAGATAAGGCTGTCAGTGGGATAGGAATAAGGGATTCAAGGATGCTGGAGTTCGCAGGCATCAAGGGGATCAAATCTGAACATCCAAGTTGGTAGACACCTTGGAGTTCTTGTAGTTTGCTGAAATGTTACAGTGCTCAGTCACAAGGTCAAACCTGGGAAGAACAGTTGGAACAAATTTCAGTGGTAACTTTCCAAAATGTTTTTAAGCTAGTAACAAAATTTAGACATTGCTCCCATTCATTTAAAATTACACCCTTGGGAGCCACATCCCAAGCTTTCACCCTGCAAGGTCGAAGCAGAGAGCAAGTTATCCAAGACCTTTCTAGCGAGTTTTTTTTCCTATGTCACAGGAAGAAAGTGAGCTGGTGGGAACCCCAGAGCCCACTGCTGAAGGTAGTTCTGGGAGAGTGACTGCCAGCAGAGCTGGCAGCCAACGCAAGAACCCCCACCTCTGTATTTTCCTCAGGCTTTTGCTCATCAGTTATGGGTGCTGAATAACAAGATCAGCTGCAACGCAGTACTTCCCTCTTCTGCAGGTTTAACTTGATATGTTTTAAGATTACCAGTCTCGAGGCAGCACCCCCAGAGCAAACCTCACAGTGGCTTCTCACTGCCATTCCCGTTGAGCTGAGGGGCCCAGAAGGAAGCAGGGAGGAATAGGTACGAGTCTCCCACCGCTCATCCGGGTCTGTGCCAGCATGGCTGTCTGTAGAAAGGATAAACTTCCTTGCTGAACTGCAAAATACGTGTGCATAAATCATGGCTGTTAGGAGGCACTCCCAAATGGCAGGATCCACTCTGCCTCTTACCCCAGTGCCAAGAGCTAGTGATCATGCAGGCATTTAAAACCAGCTCTCCAAAAAAAAAAACATTTGCCTTCATGGTTGATGACACTCATGGAAGGGAGGGGCAGCAAGGTGTGCCCAAGGATGGGGAGGAGGGGAGGCAGTGGTACTTGGGTAGCTCAACTGTAGCCAACAGTACCCTCATACCCTTATGGTATCATAAGCCATCATACTGTTTAAAATAAATGTTGCAAATGTCATTGAAAATCCAGCCTGACTTAAGTAGTGTCTCATAAGGACACTTCATGCTACACATCTTCATTGTCTAGTTTATAAACATTTCCAAATAACATCTGAGGTTAATTACACTTATGACTCCATCAGCAGGAGCCACATGACCTTTCTTGTACTGAGTAAATCACTGTACATTTATTTCGCTCTTACTGCCACGACCCAGGATTCCAATACTTGCACGGGTTCTGGCCTGCATTTCGGCTGCCTTACTGAAACATCATGGTGTAAGAGATTATTTTACAGGCCTGGGAGTTGATTCACAGCTGAGCCACGTTACCTGGGCTTTGTGCCACAGGGAGAAACGTTGCCATCTCTATGGAAGCCTGGGATATGATGTCAGAGATGGGCTGTGATAAGAAGGAGGAATCAGGTGTTGAGAGGAACAATGCAGTCTTTGCTATTATAACTGCTCATAGTTCAGAGCCTATTAAAGCTTTCCTAAGCCAGCTCTAGTGGTGGCACATCAAGAAGAGACATTCAATCAGTGGAGGATGTGCTGTGCTGAGCAGCAGCCTTAAAGAGAGACGCAGACCCTCATAACTGTGTAGTGATTATTGTTCAGCAGCAGCAGCACCCACGCTGTCCATTCTCTGGACATCTATGAAGGCATTATTTCTGCACCAAAGGGCAGAAAGAACAGAAAAGGGGACAAAATTTATGCAGGTGGGGGCACAAAAGCAGCCTGTGAGCTTGATTGATTGCAAGGAGTGGAACCAAAGTAGGAATCTGGGAGGGTGCCAAGGGCAACTCATAGGGCAGAGTGAAGTAAGTGTTTGGAAGAGGTGAGGGGAAGCTGAAGCACAGCCTAAGAGCAGTGGTGACCGGGGGGAGAATCTAGAGAAGGAAGTGACATAATCCTATCCGCAGAAAAAATGATCTGAGACTTACCTTTCGTGTTCTGTCAGCATCTGATTGCCTGGATCTCCAATATAAAGTATTTGAATTTTCCTTGTCATAACTTGTTTTTATAGCCAGATTTCCTAGCTGCAGGGTGGCAGAGGGAAGAATTTACAAGTAAATTCAAAGCAACTCCTGGAAGAAAGGCATGCTCTGCTTTTTATGCATGACAAAATAGATTTAGCTGCCTTAATAGGTGATACTGATTTAATAGCGATTACTCTTCTATGGTTTTTCAAGCGGTTAATAAGTACTTTTCAATGCCCATAAGATTGTTAGGATCTAACTATGTTTTGCATGGTCTTTGGGAACTCAGCTAGTTAACGTTGTACTGAACCCAGTAAGCGGTGTTCGACTAAAGCATGCCAAAAACCTAGCTGCTTCTGATGAAAACTGGGGTGTAGGGTAGGCCTTGTACTTTCCTGGGTTTAGACAATGTAGTGCAATCAGAACAGAAGTCAAGTGTTAAGGAACTTAGCTGGATGTTATTCTCTCTGATGAAACATTCTTACCAAGTGTTAATTGCTGTTAGCAGGGAGTGATGTTATCCCTATAGG